TTCAAAGCTCAAGCTCAGTCACAATGGGGGCTGAGGATCGGTTAACAGCTCATCTGTGTGTGGAAGCCAGGTTAGTTTCAAAGTAAGGAAAGGCATAAGGGGTTAATGAACTGTATTCTTTGAAGAATGGTTATCAGATGGTAAAGGTAAAGGTACCCCTGCCCTTATGGGCCAGTCTTGACAGACTCTAGGGTTGTGCGCCCATCTCACTTAAGAGGCCGGGGGCCAGCGCTGTCCGGAGACACTTCCGGGTCACGTGGCCAGCATGACAAAGCTGCATCTGGCGAGCCAGTGCAGCACACGGAAACGCCGTTTACCTTCCCGCCAGTAAGCGGTCCCTATTTATCTACTTGCACCCGGGGGTGCTTTCGAACTGCTAGGTTGGCAGGCGCTGGGACCGAGCAACGGGAGCGCACCCCGCCGCGGGGATTCGAACCGCCGACCTTTCGATCGGCAAGCCCTAGGCGCTGAGGCTTTTACCCACAGCGCCACCCGCGTCCCTTTTATCAGATGGAAGGCACTCACTAATTCTTTCCAGTGGCAGAAGAGTACCCAAATTAAGGCGCTAATTTACACATGCCAAAGACATTTGGAGTGTGCTGCAGTAGGCCACATGGCAAAGTGAGTTTCTGACCTTTTAATATAAGAATCACATTCCTACTTCTGTTATAAAAAGGTAAAGGGACCCCTGATCATTAGGTCCAGTCGTGGCCGACTCTGGGGTTGCGGCACTCATCTCGCTTTATTGGCTGAGGGAGCCGGCATACAGCTTCCGGGTCATGTGGCCAGCATGACTAAGCCGCTTCAAGATGATGGACTATGCCAAAATGGCAAAATTAACTGGGAAGCTCAGAAATCAAGAAGACAAGAACTTTAAAAAAAAATGGGAAAGTTTATAATTTGTATACGAGACCACTGCAAGCAGGTTAAAACACTGGCAGGATTTCAATCACATTTGTAAAGTAACAGAAACTATGGACAATTCAGAAGGAAAAAATATTTGGATAAATATTGACACGCAGTTGTAATTATTTTCATTAGGATCCATGTAAGGGATAGGGGGAAGTCAGGAGATTCAGAGTAATCTCAGATTTTGAATTGATGTTTGTTGTGTGTTTATAAAAATGAATTTTTGTTTAAAGAGAGATTTATTTTCTCCCAGGTTGGTCAGCCTCACCTGTCCCTCACTTCCCTCCGCAGCAGGTACAGAAACCACCTTCTTGGGCCTACGATTGGTCTTGTCCGCTCAATTCGCCAGAGCCTGCCTTTGCCTGCAGTGGAAGTCCCTCACTCACTGAGGGCTTGAGATACCTTAGATATTCCTTTCCAGAGGCAGGGTCCAGGGGCCAGCCTAGGTAGGTGATGTTCATGGACAAGGCATCTCTGAACACCCCCTTCTCTTGTAACAGCTTCCCACCCTTCCCCTTACCTTGGGAGACTGGAGTCTGAGACACGGTATTGGAGGGCGGCGGGATTGAGCATTTTGCTTGGATATCCCTCAAAACATGGTCATGCTGCTGTCCTCCATAGGCGCCTCTCGCCTGCATGCAACCACAGACACGCAAAGTGAAAACTGCCTTGTTACTTTTCCCTGGCTAATACCTGTCCATCCTGGACCAGGTGTGCATTTTCCTGTTTCTTCCCCTTCTGCAACAGCCCTTTGGATTTCTCCCTTTTCAGCCTGGGTAACTCTCTAATTATTATTATTATTATTATTATTGATTTGTACCCTGCCCATTTGGTTGGCTTGCCCCAGCCACTCTGGGCGGCTTCCAACACATATAAAAACATAACAAAACATTAAACCTTAAAAAGCTTCCCTATACAAGGCTCCCTTTCTGTTCTGCTGCCAATGAGTAGCTCATCTGCTTCCACTTTTTATGTTGCCTTAGTTTCGACAGGAATGTGGCTTCACCATTTATGCAGCGATTGCTGATATATGGACAAAATTTCCCTTGCCAATCCTTCCAAACTCCTTCCCTTCCCCTCTGACTTCTGCACCCCACAAATTTAGTTCCTTATTCCTCAATTCCCATCTTCTACTATGCTCCACTTGCAGGCTCCAAGGCTACACTGACTGGCAGCAGCCTTCCTGGGTTTCAGACGAGAGTCATTCGCAGTCCGATCTGAAGACTATTAAAGGATTGGACCTGAAAAACCTCTGCAGACAAAGCTATGGGCCTCCCCACTTTTCCCTCACAAGGTCCCCTAGCCAATCCCTTGGCCTCTCTAGTTGTTGTTGTTGTTGTTATTTATTCAATTTATCCACTGCCCTTCATCCAAGATCACAGGGCAGTTTACAGTATAAAAACACAAAAATACATAACATAATAACAAACAAAACAATACCCACCCCAGTTTAAAAGGCCACAGATGGTTAAATTGGCCAAAGGCCTGGGAGAAGAGGAATGCTTTTGCCTGGAGCCTAAATATATGTAATGTAATGCAAACCTTCCTGGACAGAACAGCCCACAAGTGGGGAGCCACCACAGAAAAGGCCCCGCTATCGTGCTGCCACCCCCCGGACCTCTCGTGCAGGAGGCACATAAGAAGTGCCTCAGGTGGTGATTGCAGGGTCTGGGCCGGTTCATATGAGAGATGCTGTCCTTGAGGTACTGAAAGGATCAAGTGGCTGTGGAGGCTGAAAGCCTTGCAGATCTTGGGCAGCTGCTGGTGGTCAGAGAAGACAACTAGACACAGAATCCAACTCCTAGGGGCCAAGGTCCCTTCGTCACATTCCTAAAATATTTGAGGGGGGCCGCTTTCCCAAGTTGCCATTCAAATGGTGTACATGTACCATGTCTTGTGATCAATTATGTGGGGCTGGGCTTACCTGAAGGAGCATCTCCAGCCCCATCATTCTGCCCGGACACTGAGGTCCAGCGCTGAGGGCCTTCTGGTGGTTCCCTCACTACGAGAAGCCAAGCTACAGGGAACCAGGCAGAGGGCCTTCTCGGTAGTGGCACCTGCCCTGTGGAACGCCCTCCCACCAGATGTCAAAGAGAACAACAACTACCAGACTTTTAGAAGACATCTGAAGGCAGCCCTGTTCAGGGAAGCTTTTAATGTTTAACAGACCACTGTATTTTAATACTTTGTTGGAAGCCACCCAGAGTGGCCGGGAAGCCCAGCCAGATGAGCGGGGTATGAATAAATTATTATTATTATTATTATTATTATTATTATTATTATTATTATACCTGATCGTCGCCACCCCCCAAAATTACAGTGGTACCTCAGGTTACAGATGCTTCAGGTTACAGACTCCGCTAACCCAGAAATAGTACCTCGGGTTAAGAATTTTGCTTCAGGGTGAGAACAGAAATTGTGCGGTGGCAGCGGGAGGCCCCATTAGCTAAAGTGGTACCTCAGGTTAAGAACAGTTTCTGGTTAAGAACAGGTACCTCGGGTTCAGGTTCTGAACCAGAGGTACCACTGTACAGTGGTACCTCTGGTTACGTACTTAAGAGGTCTGTTCTTAACCTGAAACTGTTCTTAACCTGAAGCATCACTTTAGCTAATGGGGCCTCCTGCTGCTGCCGCGCCGCCAAAGAATGATTTCTGTTCTCATCCTGAAGCAAAGTTCTTAACCTGAGGTACTATTTCTGGGTTAGCGGAGTCTGTAATCTGAAGGGTCTGTAACCTGAAGCGGATGTAACCTGAGGTACCACTGTATTCAAGTTGGCATGCCGGCAACTAGATGAACAACAAAAACCAACCAGATAATGCAGCGCTTTGTGACTCCCATCATATTCTCCCCTGCGCCCGCATTTTCCCACGCTCTGGTGGGGAACTTTTTGCGCCCCCCTTTTAAACGACCCTCCTGGACCTGAGTTTTCTCCTCGTCTCCCTTGCCCAGGTACCTGCATCTGCCAGCATCTGCGCTCCAACTGCATCTGCCTGCGCCGCGCTTCCCAGTGGTAGGCGCCCGCCATTGTGCTGCCCGCCGGACCGCCTGCAGCCGCGGGCAGCCGCGGTGGCACCGTCGCCGAGGCCCGTCGGGTCACACAATGCCGCGATGCCCGGGCAACTGGGAAGACGCCGCCGCCGCCGCCGGAGGCGCCCCACCTGCCGCCCGCTGCCGCACCTGGCCGCCAGGGGGCGGCAGAAACCAGGCGCTGCTTCTCCCAGTCCTTGCCCGGCGGAGGCGCGTCCTGGGAGCGCGCGACTGGTTTAGCACCCCGGGGTGCGTGCCAGGCGCTGCACCCGTGCAGGGGAAAGCTTCTTTGCAAGACCTCGCCCCAAAAGAGCGGGCGAGCAGGCAAACGATGACCCCGAAAAGCAGCAAACGAAAGGCGGGGATGGAGGGAAGCGGGAATCTGGGAAGTTTGCAAGCAAAATGCAAAAGTCAGTGCAAAATTGCTGGTTGCAGTTATCCTGTGCTGCTCGAGCAATCGCCGTAAAAAAAGCAAAATGCAAAAGTCTGTGCAAAATGCGGCGGGCTGGTTGCAGCAGTTATCCTGTGCGCGAGCGATCGCCGTAAAAAAAGCAAAACAAAAAACGTGGGGGAAGAGAGAACAGCACGTGCTCGTGTTTGTTATTTCTTGGATCTCAGAGCTGCAGGACTGAAAACCAGGCTCCGGGGGGAAAATTAGAATTTTGCCTTTGCACGCTCAGAGGTCCCCGCGCGGAGAAAGCTAGCGTGTAAAGGAGACGGCCCCTTCTCCCTTGCTTTCTACATGCAAGAAATGAGTCCAACAAGGACTCAAAGGCGGCCTTTGGCTGGTTAATATCCCATGTCCTTTTAAATATGTTTGTGGTTTCTTTTTCATAAAATCGCAGAGCTGGAAGGGAGGCTCATCTGGCCTAGTCCAACCCTCTGCAACGCGGGGATCTTTCTGCCCTCCACGCCGAGATCAAGCGTCTCGCGTCCACGGACCGAGCTCGTTCTTGTTTTATCCACGACGCATTTTGCGCTCTGTGTTGTGAGCCGCCAGGGACGGGAAGCATGGAAATCAATAATAATAATAATAATAATAATAATAATAATAATAATAATAATAATAATAATAAGAATGCCTCCAGATTGCTGCAAGCCCGGCTGCCTTTTTGCAAAAAAGAAAAGTCCTGGATCGGAGCTCGCACGCGCAAAACTCCGTGCCAAGGGAGCGAGCGCACCGCGCGCCTTTGGAGAAGAAAGCGCTTGCAGTTCCGAGGCGGAGGCGGAGGCGGCGCTGTCGAGCGCGCGCTCCCGATTGGTCCGTTCCAGGAAGCCTTCCCCGCAGCCGCATCTCGGGCGCTGGTTGGCTTCGGGAGCGCGGACGCCGCCCAGCTGGCCTCGCCTTTCCTCTCCCCGGGAGGCGAGAGGCATCCGCGGGCGAGCTGGGCGCGTGGAGAGCCCGGGCTGCGGACGGCTTCTTGGCGAAGGTGCTGCTGCTGCTGTTGCTGCGGCGGCGGCGGAATCCCCTTGGAAGGTAATCTCTCTCCCGATCTCTGGAATCTGCGATCCCTTCTAGGCCTCCCCGGTTCCCAATTCGGCCCGCTTTCGGCGCAGACGCGGAACTCGGTAGGAGAGGGTGTCCCTGAGCATGTACAGAGTGCATTTTCCTCGCCCGCGAATCTCCGCGATCCTTTCTAGGCTTCCCCGGTTCTCAGTTCGGCCCGCGTCTCCTTTCGGCGCAGACGCGGAACTCGGTAGGAGAGGGTGTCCCTGAGCTTGTACAGAGTGCATTTTTTAATCTCCCGGGACTGGAGGATTTGGGCGGGCGCGTCCGCTTGCTTGGAAAAAAAGGCTTTCCGAATCGGAGGGTGGCTTTTCCCCGCTTCTCTTTCTACAGACTCGACACCGTCTGCCCTTGCTTGCCCCCCCTTTTTTTAAAAAAAAAACAGCGTAGTTGAAATAAGGTGACTTAAAAGCTTACCTGTGGTACATCCGCCTTATGTTGTCGCTCTGTTACTGCTTTATTAATTGGATGGTTAGATACTTTTTAATTTTTGTTTTGCTTATTGCATTTCTTATGTGCTGTTGGAAGCAACTCTTGATATGGTGTTGGCGGAAAGGGTGGTCTGCACACTTGGAGGAATAATAAATATATCCTTCAAGGGCATCCATCGCAAGCGCCAAAATCTGTTTACAAGGTATAGGCCAGTCTAGAAGGGACAGCATGCAAGATTCCTCTGAATATATGCAATTATATTTCCCCCCTGTAACCTCCAGCCATAACTTGACTTGAGCGCGACTGAATCTCATGTTTAGAAACCGCGCTCAGCCCAGCACTTTTTTGTCCATACCTTTCAGTAAACATTCAGTTGATATCGCGGCATTTGAGAGGGTTGTGTTTTGCAAGGCTGCTTCTTCCTGAAATAAATGCCCATCTTCGGGGAGTTTTTGAGCACAGATCCAGGCCAAACGACCTCTTTAGGCGCTGTCTGCCACCAGTCATGGTGCCTATTTAAAGTAATACTGCTTCTATCCTTGGCCAGTAATCCAAAGGTATTGAGGGGGAGGACTGTAAGTCTTTGAGGGGGGAGGATAGCTCCCCCCACACACTTAAAATCTTAATAATAATAATAATAATAATAATATATCACTGCTTCAGATTCCTTCTTACTTTGAGGCTACATGAGCGCCGGAGACTTCTCTGTAGTGGCCCCAGTGTTTTAAAAACACACACAAAAAACACCTCTCTACAGCTCCCTCACTTCTTACTTAAAACTACAACAAAAAACTTTTTAGTCTTTTAAACTTAGTGTCTTTCTCTTGTCCTTTGTAGAGATGTTGTCATTGTGCTGTTCCTTGCTGATACAGGCTGTGTTGTTGATGTATTATTTTACGGTGTTATTTTTTTAGTGTGTTAACTATTTTTGAAACGAATATGGAAAAAGTAGCATGTAAATGTTTTAAAATAAACTAAGGGGAAGGAAAGTTACCAGTTAATGTGGATCTGCAAATAGGCACGATTCAGCTTCTCTGAAAACCAGTTTCTCCGGATCGATTGTCCTCTGTGTGAATTCAGCTTTTCTGCGAAGGAGGTTTCTTTAGGGTTTGTGAAAGTGTTGCTTGAATGGAGGAATTTGAGATGTTTAGCTGAGGGATTACCGTATTTTTTGCTCTATAAGATTCACTTCTTCCCTCCTAAAAAGTAAGGGGAAATGTGTGTGCGCCTTATGGAGCGAATGCAGGCTGCGCAGCTATCCCAGAAGCCAGAACAGCAAGAGGGATCGCTGCTTTCACTGCGCAGCGATCCCTCTTGCTGTTCTGGCTTCTGGGATTCAGAATATTTTTTTTATTGTTTTCCTCCTCCAAAAACTAGGTGCGTCTTGTGGTCTGGTGCGTCTTATAGAGCGAAAAATACGGTGCTTTGGCATCTGAAGAGTGGGCTCAAAAGCGCTACGGGTAGCTCACAAAAAACATTAAATGTTCCAATTTCCCCTGTTTATTTGATCAGCATTTCTTTAACAATACCCCCGGCAAATGCTGCATCTTCAAGCATTGCCCATAGTAACGCAAAGTATGTGTGCATGGGTTTGCATTTTGCATTAACTGTATCTCTGTGTCTTGTTGCCACAGTTCCACAACTGCTGTGAGCGGAAAAATCATCCGTCAACGCTTCAAAGTTTGGCTGTGCTCCGGAGGACTATGGGGAACCAGCTGGCCCCAGTGCCCCCATTCATGCCCCACTTGCAGGCCTTGCACGTGGTGGTGGTTGGACTGGATGCAGCCGGCAAAACGTCGCTGCTGTACCGCTTGAAGTTCCAGGAGTTTGTCAAGAGCGCGCCCACGAAGGGCTTCAACATGGAGAAGATCCGGGTGCCGCTGGGCGGTTCGCGCGCCATCACTTTCCAGGTGTGGGACGTGGGCGGGCAGGAGAAGCTGCGCCCCCTCTGGAAATCCTACATGCGCCGCACGGATGGCGTCGTGTTTGTGGTGGACTCTTCGGAGGCCGAGCGGCTGGAGGAGGCCCGCGTGGAGTTGCACAAGATCGCCCGCTCCTCGGAAAACCAGGGCGTACCCATGTTGGTGCTGGCCAACAAGCAAGATGTGGTCCAGGCCCTCTCCGGTATCCGAGGTGGAGAAGTTCCTGGGTCTGCCCGAACTCTGCGCCTCCACCTCGAACCACATCCAGGGCTGCAGCGCTGTCAGCGGACAGGGCCTTCAGCAAGGCCTGGAAAAACTCTACGAAATGATTCTCAAGCGCAAAAAAGCCCTTCGCACCAGCAAGAAGAAGCGCTGACAAACTGGCGTGTGAGATTATCTCTGGGGGATTCAGACATTTTGCACCCGGACCGCAGTTTTTTGCCACCCCGGGACATTGTTTTGGAGCAATGTGAGGTTGCAAATTAGACAATTTCCTCTTTGGTGACTCTGCTTTTTGGACTTACGAACTGTGGAACATTTGTGCCCTCGTTTTTGTATTTTTATGTTGTGAACTGCCCTGTGATCTTCGGGTGGTGGGTAGTATACAAATTGAATACCGTATTTTTCGCTCTGTAAGACGCACCAGACCACAAGACGCACCTAGTTTTTGGAGGAGGAAAACAAGAAAAAAAATATTCTGAATCTCAGAAGCCAGAACAGCAAGAGGGATCGCTGCGCAGCGAAAGCAGCGATCCCTCTTGCTGTTCTGGCTTCTGGGATAGCTGCGCAGCCTGCATTCGCTCCATAAGACGCGCGCACATTTCCCCTTACTTTTAAGGAGGGAAAACGTGAGTCTTATAGAGCAAAAAATACGGTAAATAATAGGGATAATACCTGCCATGGGCAGTAAGAAAGCACCTTGGCAGCACTAGTAGTTTGGGGAGAAAGGGGAAATTTTCCAAAGAGTTGGAGGTCCGTCATGCGCCAACCGCATTATTTGTTTATATCTTTTCAAAAAGAAAGCGTAATGTTTTCTGGGCTCCCTACCCCTGTTTTTCTGTTGTTGTTTTTTGTAGAAAACAAACCTTAAATTATTAAAAAAACCCATTCTTTTCAGAGTTGGGGACGAGGCATTTATGTCATCTTTTGTGCACAGGGACGAGGGAGGGTTTTGGCATGCTAAGGAGATGGACTAGATGATAAACAAGGGAAGAACGCAGAGCTGCTTGCATGCAGTGTTAGAAACTGAGATGGGAGGAGCTAAAGGGCACCTTGAACCTAGGTTATGGGCGCAACAACGGAATGTTTTACAACAAGAATACAAAGCTGAAAATGAATGAACTGCAGCTAAAATATTATGTTCATTTTTCGCATGACCTAGTCCTTCCCCTGCCCACCCCCCTAATATTCTTAAGAGGGTCTCTTCTCCAGTCTTCAAAAAGTAGCTGGAAGTGGGGAGGCAGGAAAACGTCCTCCTTTCCTTCCACACTGCAGTTTCAATCTGAAATCTTAGGCTCAGCAACTGCTCACGCTAATGAAATTCCCTGTCGCAAAATGCGCCCAGAACAATGGGAGTTTCGAATGCTGCTTGCATGATGTTTATAAAGATTATTTGTAAACATCATGCCTTCCTGGAACGGAAGGTAATGCTTAATAATAATAATAATAATAATAATAATAATAGTTTCTTATTTATACCCTGCCCATCTGGCTGGGTTTCCCCAGCCACTCTGGGTGGCTTCCAACAGAATATTAAAATACAATAACCTACTAAATATTAAAAGCTTCCCTAAACAGGGCTGCCTTCAGATGTCTTCTAAAAGTCTGGTAGTTGTTTTTCTCTTTGACATCTGGTGGGAGGGCTTTCCACAGGGCGGGCGCCACCACCGAGGAGGCCCTCTGCCTGGTTCCCTGTAACCTCTGCAGAAAAAGAGGCTGGAGCTCAGGGCTTTTCCGGGCCTTTAGTTTTCTACCCACAAACCTCTGGATACATCCCCATGAGTTGTGGCTGCTCAGTAGTGAAGACAGGCTTATGCTGGAAGACGAGGACTCTGTGAGTTCCTTTACATGTCCCAGTGATTATCATCATTAGGTACCCACAGCTAGCTCCTTGGCATCTGGGAATGGGGACACCCAGGTTGTCACTTCTAGGGAGGCTCTGGGCGTAGCACTATTCCTTTTGGAGATGAAGGACTGGTTGCTGCGCTCCCAGTTTCCTCTTCTGGTGCTAGAGACTGCCTGCGTTGACTTGGAGAGGAGGAGGGGAGGGGTGCGTTTGACGCGAGGGGCTTTGCGTCGCTGTAAAATTCCATCTGCTTTTGCGCTGACTGTTTCCCCCGCCCCAGTTTTCCATGAGCCTTATAAAGGCCCAGATCAACATTGCCCGCTCAGGCTTTGTTTAGATCAGAAGCAATTTCCAGCTCCAGAGTTTGGCGCTTTCTCAACTAAGGACGTCTCTGAGCATGCAAATCTCCATTTGAAGATAACCAGAGGTAATGGTTGCAAACATTGCAGCTGAAGATTTATCAATACACTTGTCGGTGCAATAAGGTGTCCGGTGATGATAAAAAAGAAAACCATTCGCTGGTTTTCCTTTTTGCATTTTCCTTTGCTTCTAATTCAGCGTTTTGCTCTAGACATGCGCATGCATTGTGCTTTTCTGTCCATCTGCTCCACTTAACCCAGACCCCACATATCTAGTCTTAGGGGCGCAAATCAGAGCATTTAGGTAGGCCGGAGCATCCAGCGGTTCTTGCCCCTTGTGGGTCTAACCTCTGCCAACAAAATCAGACCGATAGCACGTTTGGGTAGCAGCTGTTGTGTCTCTGGGGTGGGGTGGAGGCGGGTGGGGACTTGGCGCTGGCTCCGGCACGCTGCTGGAAAAGAGGACAACTGTTTTTAGCCTGGCAGAGATGCTCAGCGAAAACACCAGATTTCCGGACGGTCTGGCACCCCAAGCTCGTGTTTGTACGGCGAAGATTTCTTCAGTTCTTATTTTACATGTCGGCCCCTGCATGTTCCCATTGGGGAAGAGATCGCTCCTTTGTTGGTGGATGAGCAGGAATTAAGTATGGGCTTCCTTCGACATGCAATGGGGCAGGCACCGTGTTTCTAGAGTCTGCTGATCCTAATGTTCTGGCTGGAATTTGGCAAGGAAGTCCACATTTGTGGACATGAGAACACAGGGACAGACGGTTATTTTTTTCCTGGTATCCATTGGTGAGAAGGGCTCATGGTTGCCAATCCCCTCCTACAAATCCCCCCCCCCAGACTATTTTCTCTTTAGCTGGAAGTACTTCCAATTTTTGGCTGGGTTTTTTGGGGGGTGGGAATAAGCTGTGGACATTGTCAAGAGGAGACGCTTAATTCATCTGCATTTAATGCCTACATTTGAACACATGCTGCCAGTTGCACAGAGCTGCTGAGGAAATGTGTCGGACCCATGAATGTTCAGAGTGCCGGAATGGAGCTTTTCATGGAATCAGAACCACAGAATTGTTGGAAGGGACTACAAGGGTCATCTAGTCCAAACCCCTGCGATGCAAGAATCTTTTTGCCCACTGTAGGACTCGAACCCCTGTCCCTGAGATTAAGCGTCTCATGCTCTACCGACTGATGCACAGAACTTTTAATCAACACCGCTCGACCTTCTAAAGTAAAATGAGGGGGTTTGTGCGTTTGGGGGATACCTGTAATGTTTTCTGGCGCAAAATCAAGGCTGTTGTTTTCCCTGTGATGGGGGGGGCCTGTGCCACAACTTCCCTACTGGGGCAAGCAGTTGTCGGGAAGGAATTTGGACTGGGAAAGCGCTAGCAGCAGGAAGGACAATCAAGCACCCACAGCGCCACTCCAGTCAAATATATCTCTCCCCCCAACCCAACCAAAAGAAAGCATTTGAAACTTAAAAGTAAAAAAATTAAAAAGCCACGATAGCAACTTGCAGGACTGCCATGTAATGTGTGGTTTGCCCTTGGATCCGCCCCGGGTATAGGAAGGAGCAGCAGCTCAGATTACTCAGAGTTGAAGAGAAAGTCACTCTGCTGGTCTTCTGCCTTCTTGGGTGTTTTCACATTCAAGAACTAAATTCTGGCACTCAAAACACATCCTGTGGCTGAAGTCCTTTCTCGGATCAAGCCCTTGGGTACGGCTGACTCCTTGGCCTACTAAATGAGAATTCATCTGTTACCTTCCTGGACAAAAGTCACAGCAGCCAAACCGGCTGGGAACTGGTTTTAGGTTGGCAATTTAAACATAGCTCAAAGCAATTATTGTGAGAGCAGCGGGTACGAGAGGTACCAGAGTTCATCCTTTGCCTAGAAATCGCATCCTCTTACTTTCAAGTCGTTCTCCCACCTGATGCAAATGTGCTTTGTCCCTCAGAGAACGTGAGTTATGAAGCAACTAATAAAGAACGAAAGGGAGAGGTTGAGATTATGAAAGAACAGTCCCTGTTGTGCGCCAAATAGACCTCTGTCTGTTTTCATGCCCTTGCTTCTGATATTCTTGGGCCGGGCCCAGTGAAGTCTCTCTAATGCCTTGTCTGCGGCCTGATTCTTGGCACTGGTAATGTTCCTCCACAGCACATGTTCCTTGTGGTTTAGTTAGCAGGCGCTTGCGAGGAAATGTAAAGTTTCACACAGTGTTAGAAACTCAGATATATAAGCCAGGCATCAAATGGTTCCTTAAACCAGAGTTACAGGCACCAAAACCGCATGTCCGGTTGCCATTTTGGGGCCAGGCAGCTTGAAAGCAGTATTTTTCAATACAACTTTTTGGTTCCTGAAATAAACGGTTCTCAACCTGTGGGTCCCCAGATGTTTTTGGACTACAACTCCCATCATCCCCTAGCTCTGGCCTTGCTAGCTAGGGGTGATGGGAGTTGTAGTTCAACAGCATCTGGGGACCCACAGGTTGAGAGAGGCTGGTAGGCAGATAAAATATAACGGCTAGACAGGATGTGGGATTAAATGTGCGGAAACAGTCGAGGTCCAAGGATCCCCAAGCCTGCACCTCCAGGTGGTGGAAGCGTCAGGCAACAAAATCCTGGCACCTGGACACCTTCACTTGGTCGCAAGGGGCCGATAAAAGGTAAAGGTAAAGGGACCCCTGACCATTAGGTCCAGTCGTGGCCGACTCTGGGGTTGTGGCGCTCATCTCGCTTTATTGGCCGATGTAGCCGGCATACAGCTTCCAGGTCATGTGGCCAGTATGACTAAGCCGCTTCTGGCAAACCAGAGCAGCGCACGGAAACGCCATTTACCCTCCTGCCAAAGTGGTACCTATTTATCTACTTGCACTCTGACGTGCTTTCGAACTGCTAGGTTGGCAGGAGCAGGGGCCGAGCAACGGGAGCTCACCCCGTCGCAGGGATTCGAACCGCCAACCTTCTGATTGGCAAGTCCTAGGCTCTGTGGTTTAACCCACAGTGCCACTCGGCTGATAGCCAGGTGCAAAATGCGCCTAGCGAATTTCCAGCGCTAGTTTCACACCCTAAGA